TAATGCCATACTTTGATTTTGTGTCTGGTTTTACTCTTATCAAATACACGAAAACACAGGAGCTTCTGCGAGATTCCCTGCCTGAACAAAGGAACAAAACTATCAATTCCCCTTCCACCATAATCACAAATTCTGTATCCGCCAATGATATATACAGCTCAACAAACTTTTTAAGCTCACATGGTTTTTCGCACAAATTAAGGTCACATTTTTATAGTAAATATTACTATTTTCGAACCTCAAAACGATGACATGGCCCTACGTTATATTACATATATAATGTCAAGTATCAATGTCCTTTAAAATTATTATCTTAAGTTTCCAAAGTGGATGTTTCAGAGGGGAATTTATTAATAAATGGTACGATGTTTCAACTATAGGCCTCTACCATAGGTTATTTACAAATAATATAAAACGTGCTTTCTTTGATACAATGTAGTTGAAAATTTTAAAATCTCTTCTTAAAGGTGAGTATTTTTTAAAATTCTTTGCTCATTTATCATACTTATCTGGGTTTTGTCGAAATGTAGTACCGAAAAGAGATAACATTGCAGAAAAAACCATACTACAGGGTAGGATTATGAAGCATTGTTTATTTTTTTGAATAGTAATTTTTTTCTATGAAAAGGAAAATTCTTATGCATTTACAGTTTGAAACGTTAAAATTTTGGTGTTGGGTGAATCTTTCATGATTCTAGATTTTAGAAGGTGAACCTGAAAAATGCCACCTTATTAACGTACAAAGCAGTAAAACAGAGGAAAAATACTATTACCACCTTGTGCTAAAGAGTCAGAATGTACAGAAAATACAAGTTACAGTAGCTGTACTGTTCCCGTATCTATGTTTCTGCAAAGAGCTACTGCTTTCAAAAGAACGGACAAATAACAGCTGCAATTGGCAAGACACCACAAAAAATCAAATGGAAATAGTTGTTATTTTTCAGCCAAGAATATATCAAAGTTCTAGCAATTGATTTGTATGACTTATGTTTTGGTAAATGAAATAAAATTCAAATAATGTGAACAAATACTTTTAAAATGTATTTTGATGTCTCAATACACAATATTACATTATAACAATGTGACCTTAATTTGTGCAGTTTTCAAACGATGTGAGCTTAAAAAGTTTGTTGAGCTGTAAATGTTTAGTTTTCAGTAACACTTGATTTATATAACGCTTTTTACGAAGAAATTCTGTGTAGATGTGAGAGCTTGAAAAAAAAATACGATTTCAATGGAGCAAAAACAAAATCTCCATATTTCCGCCTTAATTTGCATATAAATTACACATCTGAAGACGGAGTGTGTCAACAATTTGGACCTCGTTCTCACAGTCCAGGTAAGTCTTCACACATATAATTTAATTACTCACTATAGTAAACTGTATTTAAATAGATCAAACCTCCAAATGTAATAAAAATTGATTTATTTTAACTTTTTGATTTTTTATATAAGAACTATGTAATTATCATTGTATTCATTGCAAATACATCTGTTTACAATATGTGTTATTAAAACATACGAAAAACATAGTGTATTATATCATATTTATTACTCCTTTTTTATATCAATTTTTATATTCTATTTTAACCTTTGCTTAACATAAACATTGATTATCTTATTAATTAGAAGTGTTTTTTGTAATAATTTAAGAAATTAATTAATTGTTAATCAGTTAAATCGTTTTAAACCAGATTTCACTATTGTTTTGAATTCATTGATACGAATAAATGAATAGGCAGTTATAATCACTTGTCAACAGGTGACATTAATGATGACAAATGATAACATCAAATGATAATAAAATTAGTCAGGATTTAAAAAGTCTGCCAAATGCATTGTGAAAGAAATAGAACAGAACTTGTATCTAGAATGCCGAGTCTTAGTCTTACAAAGTTATGTAGAGTAGAACTAACAAAAGGCGTGTATTCATATATTAAATCTAATATTGTAAGAAATTATGACAACCAATAACAGGAGGGGCGACCTGAAAATTAACAATGATTGATTAACGTCGAATTATTTATGTCACGTTGATATCAAATTTATTTATTTTATCAAATTTATACACAAAAGGAAGAACTGGGGAGCTTAAGACACGTGTTTTAATAAATTTATGTGAATTGACTTAACTGACAAAAAGTGATCAGAAACTTGACAAGAAAATGCGGAAAACAAAATAAACGAAATTTCTTAGAAATACAATTATGTATGCTGATGACTCATAAAAGCCAAAAATAAAAGCTACTCAGATCTGTCATAATAATAGTGTCTTGATTACCTAAAATGTTAAAGTGTATAAAAACAGAACATTAATGTTGAATTCAAATGAATTTTAACAAAATGTCAGCCCTGTAAACATCATATAATATATACATGTACATTTAAATCACAGCTGTGTTCTAGCAATTTTGAAGGTTAGCATTATCATACATAAAATATTATCTTTGTCTAAATCTTAATATATTCTTTGAAATTAAAATGAACAAGAGGCCTATGGGCCACATCGCTCACCTGAATAACTTGGGTGATGCAGTTCTTTACCAGAATTTCACTCTTGCTTTACCTATCGTGCCCCTAGCCCCTCCCCTTACATGATTTTAATACTTTAGAATCTACACTACCCGAGGCAGCTTCCATATGAGTTTCATCTTTCCTGGTCAAGTGGTTCTTGAGAAGAAGATTTTTAAAGATTTACTCTAAATATCGCTATGTAAAATTTGGATTCCCTATTGTGGCCCCGCCCTACCCCCGGGAGTTATGATTTTTACAATTTTATATCTACACTACCCAAGGATGCTTCCGCATAAGTTTCAGCTTTCCTGGCCCAGTGGTTCTAGAGAAGAAGATTTTTAAATATCTGTTCTATATATTTCTATTTAAACTTGGATTCCTTATTGTGGCCCGTCCTACCCCCGGGGTCATGATTTTAACAATTTAATATCTTCACTTCCCAGGGATGTTTCCAAATAGGTTTCATTTTAACTGGCCCAGTGGTTCTTGAGAACATTTTTTTAATGACCCCACCCTATTTTTGTCTTTTCTTGATTATCTCCCCCTTGTAAGGGAACTTGGCCCTTCGTTTTTAAAATTTAAACTCACATCTACTCAAGGGTGCTTTGTACCAACTTTGGTTAAATTTGGTCCATTGGTTCTTGTGAAGAAATCGAAAATGTGGAGTTTACATACGGACGGACGACGGACAAAATGTGATCAGAAAAGCTCACTTGAGCCTTCGGCTCGAGTGACCTAAAAACTTATTTGGTAAAAAGTAGTTTTTAACTGTCATTCTATTTCTAATGTTTTCATACATCTTTCCATCACAGTATTTAACGATATTCTATTATTTGAATTTTATTTAATTAAAATCGGTTTTTCCCAAATGCAATTTTTGTTTATTAAGTACTTCTTATTTAATGATTTAAAAAAAATCTCCTGAGCAATATATATTTAATCCTTTTTATTATAGAATGCTTTAATATAATGTTAGAGTATTACGTAGTTGACATTTAAGAGTAGAGAATTTGGTCCTAAAAGGAATTGAAATCCTTAATATTTCTATTTAAATGCTTATTTACAAGCTTTATTTTTGCAGCCCAGTCATTCCTATCCACAGTCATTAAAAATCTCAATCTGAGCATGTTGATTTATTTTCGTATCAATTTGTGAACTTTAATTTCCTTTTTAAAAGACCAATATGAAGATTGAGACATCCTGAGATAGTAGTTAAGGCTTTGTATTTATATAATTTCTTCTCGCTTGTGACTGAACCCAGCATATATAGTTTAAGGAATATGAATGATTGATTATTGCTGCTTTACTCTAAAGTTTATGAAGCCAAATTTCTACAGCTAAGAGCTTTGTCATGCTTTGAGCCTTTGAAAGCTTACCCTGAGACAAAATGCTCAATCTTCAAAATAAATCTGCAATTTCTGACTTTATAGTTGTGTTTCTTCATACAGTCATCATAAGTGGACAACAACAGTTCCCATGGTTTTACCGTTGAGTACATGTATCATAATTTACAGACTACCACCCCCACCCACCCCCCTTTGTTAGAGGTAAAATAGTTCATATAAACCTAAGTTTATATTTTTTGGTAAAATATTTTTAGTGTATGCCTTTATGCAATTTATCAACAAATTGAATAGACCAGCAAACAAATGAAACGATACTGAACTGTAAAAAGCTAATAACAATGATGAAATTGACAAACATCCTTTCAATACTTTCAGTACTTTGATTAATGCAGAAGTGAAAGTAACGCAATGTACACGTGAATGTTTAAACGTCAATGCCATTTGAAGACTATCAAATTTTTGCAAAACTTGTAAGTACCTTCTTCAGGATTCATAAGATTTCGGAAAATAAAACTTTAAACGGAATAGTTTTTTCACTTCAGATTTCTGCGCTTGCCCCCCCCCCCCAGGTAACCTGGGATTGTTTACGATTAACTCCTAAAAAAATAATTACTTATATTAAACCATCCCTTAACTCCCATATGTTTAATTATTCCTGTTATCTATAACTTAAATTATACCATATTGTGTAAATTCAACAAATTAATATATATATAAAAATTGACGTTTGATCTTAACACAAAATCCAATCGAGCCAAATCCAAAGTAAAATTACACCATATCTTATTTGGCTTGAAATACAAACCTTAATAGTTACCTTCGAAAGCAAACTTATCTCATCTCAAATATTAAAACATTGCCACAATTGAACTTCATAAAATTTTCCATGACCTTGCCGTTTTATCGATCCATCAGAAAGGAAGAGGAGGTGAACAATTTAATATTAGAGTATATATGTTTTCAAATGTTAAAATGTTAAACTTTTCACCTTCTATAGAAAGTAGGGTTATGTTTTATGATAACTTAGACCCAAAATATTTAATATATGGTATAGCACAAAAACGAACATGTTCCTGAATACTTAATAAGTAAATGAAAAGCATATCCCCCTAACCTTACAGAATGAAAAAAACACCAACTATGGACGTGGATGGCACCCTTAGGTCTCTCGGGAAATATGGCCGTTTTCAGATTTTCCAGTACGTGTATACTCTGATCTGTAGTCCGTCTGCGGCCTATCCCCTCGTCATTTATGTGTTTATAGGTAAGTCAATCTAAATTCAATAAAAATGACTATTATATATGAATGTCCTTTATTTATTAAAATATTGAGTCAATATTCCTTGAAAGATATAATCTCAAAACTGTTACGGTGTTATTGCGTTGTGAAAATATGTTTGCACACACCTTTGCAGTTATGAATCTATATATTTTCACTGTTTTTCCTTAAAGAAATGATTGATGCTTATATTTACATTTCTTAGCTCTCAAAGCCTCAATGATATGTCGATCCTTTAATTCTCCTTTTTAATATTGTTTAAAGGTTATATACCAGATTTCCAATGTAAGCTTCCTAGTGACCACGTGACACACCATTATAGGCAGACAAATGGATCACAAAACGTCACGATGTATCCACGGAAATGTGACATTGTTCTCGAGACAAACATTTCTGGTGTTATAGCACAAGACACTTTGCCTTGTTCGGACGGTTACGAGTTCTTCGGACGTGAAACCACGACTTCTGAGGTATTGAACCAAAATATCAAATCGTAATTTTAGATACAATATATTAAATTCTCATTAATTTTTACTCTGAAGTCAAAAAAGTGAATATTTTTGTAAAATGTAAAATTATCTTTCATACGTCTACACGGATGCAAAGAAGCAGTTCATTTCCTCTATAGAAAATTACATTCCTTCTACACGGATACAAAGAAGCAGTTCATTCCCTCTAAAAAAATACATTTCTTTTACATAAAGACCCCAAAAAATGGTGATATATACAAATTAACTTCCATTAAAGAGGTTTCCTTTTACACCTGTTTTCTTTCGAAATTCTACATTAACTTTAACTACCTGATCAGTGGATTATAAAAGCAGATATGGGATTGATAGTTCAATTTATCAACTAAACTACTGTTATTCCTACTTTGTTTTTCATTACAGTGGAATTTGGTGTGTGATTCGGAGAGCCTCGGGAGTTTACCTTCTACCATGGTTGGGGTTGGGCAGATGATAGGAGCCAGTCTGTTTACAGCGCTTTCTGATAAATATGGTCGTCTGGTGATAGCTTACATGACGTTTATCGGAACATCAGTTTGTTTCATACTGACGGCTATAGTTCCTTGGTTCGTCGTATTTGTCATTCTTAGGCTACTGACTGGGG